GAGAGCTCCTGGTTTGTATAAACAGTTACTGTTTCCTTAGCACCTGTGGGATATGAGTTGCTCTGGGCTTGGAAAGACATCTCCACTCTGCACCACAGCTGTTGTGACTGTTGTAGCTAACTGTAGCAGTGCTGGGTCATGAAATCACTCTTGACAGGGCTTAATGGAATACAAATGCTGTTATTACAACTGTCCAAAGAATAGATGGCTGTATATATGGCCCACATCAGGAGGGGCTGCCCTATTACATTGCACCTCAGCTGAAGTGTTTTATGATTACACGATACTTTTTAAGGAGCCACTGCAGTTTAGATAAAACACAGCACAGCTTATAACCAAGTTTTCCGCTGAAATTCAAGTATGCTAAGATGATTTTGCATAGTTTCCCCCCCTCCCTTTTTAAGTGAGGAAGGTTAAATTAACCTACTCTGAATATGATTTCTTCTGTCTGCTTCTCACTAGGTGTAAAGCCTACAGCAAAAGAGAGAATTGAATCAGGATATGTAATTTACAAGATACATTGTAATGATCATCCTTCCTCCTCCTATATCCAATTTGGAATTAATCAGGAAAAAATGTGCTAATTTAGCTAACATGTAAAACTGATCAAGTGGTTACAGGGAGCACTGGATTATTCCTGAATTGGCCAGGCTGGCCTGATCCTCTTTATAGGTAGCATGGTACCATGAATGGTAGCATGTTCCATGATGCCCTGTACAATTTCAAGCAACCCATTCAAAAATTAAAGCTAATATGAAAATGGAGAGTCCATTGGAGGGAGGCTTTTTGGTGTCCTATCAGTATTATTATTGGGAAGATGAGTTCCATGACTAGATCAGATATTGTCTCCTTTTCCATCAATGTCACTGTAATGTCAGACCATGGAACTGCAATTTCTACAAATGGTCTCGGTGGCTCCAGCCCTGATTTCTCTGAGATGATCTGAGGTTTAGGAGTCTTATTAATTTGAAATGTCTTAAAAAGTAGAACCTCTCAAGTCAAATGTTGACCCAGTGGAATTTTTCTCCCAAGACTGTTCCAGCTAAATGGGATGTTGTCCCCATATTTGCATATTACATTACCTGTAAAAGTCTCATGTACAAACACACTCCATTTACTTATAATTACCAGTAGACAGCTGACCCAGAGTGCATGCTCAATACCAAGCACATTTTGGGTTTGGTTATGAATTCTATACAGACATTTCTCCCTTTAGATGTGCTGAAATAACTTTGTATCATTATAAATTATCTTTTTGACTTAAAATATCCAGGCTCATGCTTTCACCTGGCCATATTTTCACCCTTGGGATCTGAAGCAGGGCTGCCTGGCAGGTTGCACAAGGGGTAAGGGAGCCATAGAGGCCCTTCAATGAAGGCATAGTGCCAGAATTCAGGCAGCCTGCTGATTCAGCACAGCATGCACAAGCTGATTGAAACCTTATCACTTTCTGTTTCCCCATCAAAATGCAGCTGCTTGGAAAGGCAGACTGTTTATCAGTGTGTCCACATCTAGAAATTCAGCAGCAGCACATATTTGCCTTCAAGCAATGACTGGATTAAATAGACTTTTTAGTCTAGGGCAGCAGGCTTTGGATATAAATATCCAATAATGTTCTTCAATTTTAGAGGATGGATTGATAATATCTTTGCTGTGTCCAAGTGGATTTACAGAGGACATAAATGGACATTCTTATTAGAGCAGGGGTGTCAGATTCCTGGCACGTGGGCCAGATGTGTCACACGCTGCCCACACCCGGTTTAGGGAAGGGGGGGAAGTCGTGATACGTCATGTGATGCTGCTATGACGACACGAGTTTGACACCCCTGTATTAGAGGATCCAAAAACTCATTGGTTCATTTTTTGTCACTCACATAAAGCAGTAGATGTATTGACCTTGCTCCCACAAGAGTGATATAATATGGCAATATAGAGACTGGCCACTAAGCATGCAGGCTGTTGCATTTTGGACCAATTGAAATTTCCAAATCTTCAAGGACTCCATTATAAATTGAAGAGTGAATTGGAATCATTTAAGCAAGAGTTGATAAAGTCATAAGCAACTTCTCAGCATATTCTCTTCTAGATAAGACCAGAACTTGTATACTGGCCAAATCTGGGGAAAAGCCCTCCTGGTCATGTCCTTTACCTCCTCCTCTAGCAAAAGAAGAGAGTCTCAGAGAATTCCTAGATTGTAAACCTGGTTACTCTGAGGAACCACAATCCCATTCAGATTAGAAAATAGTATAGTCTTGGAATCTGTTGGCTTCTGAATTAATATTAAAGTCATTTTGCATTGTTCAGCTGGAATCTGAACCTGTTTCTTCTCATCCAGTTTACAGACCAGGTTAGAACTTTTATTGCATCTCCTATCTGACCTGAAGTAAAGCTATACAACAGTATATTGATATCTCATCCCAAACAAATGGATTTCCTCTCCATGCAAATTTAGATGTGATAGAGAAGACCAAACTCTGTAGCATCTCAAAATAGACCTATGTCTAAGGATAGTTCCTCTAGCCACCTAGATTGTAGCAGAATCATCATAACAGTGCCACCAACTCCCAATCTTTGTAGGCAGTCCAGGATACTGAGATGAAAAGCATCAAATATCTAGGACAATAGTTGTCCTTCCTTAATACAAGTCTCACCGATGGTCATTTGTAAGAAGTTGAAGCCAAGAAAGTAGTATGGGCATTCAGCAAATGAGGCATCCTATTACAGATTTATCTAATACGATTCTCTTAGTTTGTCATGCAAACAAACTGGGAAAGAAATTCCAAAGCTTCAAAGAGACCATGTCTTAATGAATTAATAAGAGGGTTGAAGGGTTCCTAACTCAAGTCTCAAAACACTACTAATTCTTGGTATTAAAACTTAAGTATCTGAATTTTGGTTCCTTGATGTGTAGGTAAAGGCTTAAAAATGAAAATCCAGACTTCCAGGTCCTTATAATCTGCTTCTCCAAAGCTCGCTATAACTATGAATATGTTCCTACCAAACTTCTGCAAGGGGGAAAGATTGAAGATACAATATTTGCTCATTTCCATTGGAATCAGGCTTGATTTGTTGAAAAGCAGAGAAATCAACAGGTCTTTCAATGATGCTGGAGTCTCCAATTCCCACAAAGAAGCATTGATTAGTCTTCTTGGCCACTTTCCCCAGCTAGGTCAGGTAGAGATCTAATGCAAATAACAGAAGGACCTCTGATAATTTCCCTGACATCTACAGGCTTTAAAAATATCTATGATAACATAAGATAGGATCCCTGTCATCTCAATATATTTTGTCAGTTTCCAACCAAGAGCAAATAAGATTTTATCCACAAAAAATTTGGCTGGACATTTACAATTTATACTAATTGATTCTTCCAGAATCTCTTTTCCTAAGATCCTGGAACATTCCCAAGTAGTTGCCATCATTCCACAGATTCAGTAAGAGTAGAAAAGTGATGTATTAACATACTCTGGCCCATTTCTGAATCACAGTTTGATCTTACCAAAAGTCATGTGAAAAATAGTGACTTTCTACTTAGGTCTAGAAACTATTTTGAGTGTCTGAAACAAGAAGATGATCCAGAAAGTTCTTCAAAGAAGTGTGTTGTACAGGAAGCAATCCAAATGGAAAAAATTGCACTACTCTGTAATTAGGTATGTGTTGCTTTCTACTCTTACAGTGCCAGTACAACAGCATGCCCACTGAATCAGAGTTCATATTTCCATTATAGCAGAAAGTATGGCTCTACTAGTGAGGCTAAATGGTCTCACTCTTTAAACTTCTATTTATTATGGATATAACTATTTCTCTTAATTTTGAATTGGCATTAGAATATTTTAAACTGAACTTTTAAATACTTTGAAGACATATCTCAAGAATCTTCTGCTAATAAAAATTTGCATAAATTACTTTTACCCTCCCTGTATATCTTTTAATAATTCATTTTATGCTATTTCTATCCACCCCATGCCACAACTCTGCATGGCTTCTTATCAATAAAAATGTTTAAAAGCATAAAACTACAATGAAAAAATAAAAATTAATGAACCCAGACTGCAAAATATTGTAACAAAATTACTATAAAAATTAAGATCCAAAAGTATGGCAAAGGAGAACCATCTTAAAAGGTCTTTCTTAAAGGGCAGCAGGGATAAGGCAATTCTTACCCCAGGACCCAATTCCAAAAATGAAGGAGCAACGAATTACTAAACTGATTCAACCCTTTGTATTAGAGAGTTTAAGAATATATTAAATTAAAAAATAACAAATAGGTCAACATGTGAGTCATATTAAAGATATTAGAAGCAGTTTGCTGATTTTCCAAAATGTTTTCCTTGTTGATTATTTTGCTTCCAAATTTGGCTCTGTAGTGCGTATCTCCCTCCAGGTAGCTCATAGTAGCAATCCCTACTAATCAAAAACATTCTAAATATACATATTCCATTTAGTCATTCAGGTTAAAATGAAGAGAAAACAGTGAGAAATGTAAGCTTCTGAAGGTGGGGTATAAAACAATATTCCCTGTAGCGGTTTGCTAAAGCATTCCTTTTGTAAAGAAATATCACTTATATTAACTAATTTGTCCTAACCTGTTATTTGCCCAAAAGGAAGACATTTCTGGATTTTAGAAAATCTTCCCTCAAAAAGATCTGGTATCATAGAAAAAGCAAATATAATACACTCTTATGTTTTTAATTCACTTTTTCCTACCTCTGCTTTAAAAAAATATCCTTTTTTCAGATTGAGACTCTTAATTGTTTTAACTCCCCTGTTCATTTTGCTGCTTCCTCTACTTTAGCAGTAGCTAGATACTATGCATTTTAGAAATAATATTACTGATTTTATTTAGCCGGACAGTCTGCTACCTAGCCTCATGAATTATGTTACAGGTATGGTTTTGAGATGTTGACATAGAATTGTATGCAGATTTATGTAGTGTAACTGTACACATAAGCAAATCTGTGTAGAAAACTCCTGATAAATTAATTTAAAAGGACACAATAGTAGTTGAAAAGTTTTATTCATATAAAATTCATTATTAAGAACATAAAGGATTGCATCTTAAAAAAAGATCTGCAGTTATTTACAGCAGTATTGCACAAGTAAAGTGGCAATTACCCTGTCAAATTTTCATCAGTGCAAAACACAAGCCAGGGAAACTGCAATAAAAATGCTACATATGCTGGGTTCTATGAAACAAATTAGTGATTAATCAGTACAAGATCAGTGCTACATTGATGTTTGTACCTGATGACGAGGTCTGTCCTACAATAACTAGTGGTCTTTAAACCGGGGTGCAAAATTTCACTCTTCTGCTAAAAATTTAATAGTTCTTGAATAAATTGTAGGTACTTCTTGATCATGAGGTAACAGCCATATCCTGTGCTATATAAACTGAGGTCAAGGGATGCAGTATTAACAGCCCTTAATATTAGCACAATTCAAGAAAGAAACAGGAAGCACCAACAAGGTTGTCATCTGGTATTTCATGAATTTTCCAGAGACATTGATTTTTGTGCTGGGGTCATCTGAATTCTCACTGAACACAACATGCCCATGCAAGTCCTTGGATCATGTCTGTAATTTTTTAAGACTAATTCAGAGCACTGCTTGTTGCTCTAGTAAAAATTCTTTGAAAACCACCATCAGTCCCCACAAGAACGTATTCAAATGTTTCAAAGCTTGAGTATGGAGCTTTCCTAATGACACAATGGAATTGTACTCTCTGCTTGCACTTTATATTTGAACGCTGTAACAAGTCAGAGAAGGAAGCAAGAACAATGAGAGAAAATAAGGGGGTTAATATCTAAAATAGCGCCAACTATCTCAAACTAGTAGACAGTGCTCTAAACTGATCAATCACTATTTTCATATATGCTAAGTAAAATTTAAAGAAAAAAAAAGACTTTACAAGAACTTAAATAAGCAGAAAATAAATATACAACATTTCTACAAGTTACAGCATTATGAAACAGTAGAGTGCATTAATTACAAAGAAAAGGGGAACCTACAGTATTTAACAAGTTCAATTTTACAAAAAAGTTTAGAGAAATTTCTGCTGCTATACAAAAAAAAAATCTTACATGAAATAGTAAGAAAAGAGGAAACATTGCACACAGGTAACATTTGGCTCAGATGAGAAGAACTGCTCTAATCTAATAAATATTCAAATATTTACAATCATTGAAAGAAAATAAAAGCATTGAAAGTCTTAGTAATTCTCTGGGAAGAAATTTATATCTGGTTTCTCCACAACCAAAGGAATTTCTTCATAAAAATGTTTTGGCAGGACTATTTAAAAGGGAATTTTATTTTATTTTTTAAATCCTCTAATAGACAAAAAGGTTATATATGTTAAATTACATCAAGATTTTAAAAACCCACGAGTCTTACTAAGTTCACAGTGGGGTTGTCAAGGCACAAAACCTGCAGTGAACTGGAAAACCAAATGGGTATTATTTGATTTAGTTTTTAGATATAGGTATCTATATAGATAAATGTCTGCGGAAAAAAGAAAGCTTGGGTTTGGGCCACACAGTGCCAATATCGTGTCATTTACTGTTTATGTTATAATTCACAGAATTTTAAAAATATGTATTAGGCTTATAATGCTCGCCTTAAGCCATGGCAGCAAGCTCATTGCGTGTCCATGCTATCAGTTAACACATATGGATGTGTACACATCTCAAGGCACTGGGCCAGCCAAGCCTTTAAAGAAATTGGGGGAGAGGGGAGGACAAGGGATGCAAAAAGGCAGCAGACGCCACTGCTCATGCACTGGGCTTTTCAAAGCCCCCCTTTCTACAGCAGCTCCTTATTTCCACATACCCATCCCTAAGAGAAAGCCACTCCTCAAATTAGGGTATCCTAAGGAGCAGCATTTGCTCCAATCCAAGTAAGGAACAAAGGAGTCTTCCAACATAAGGTGCATGCATGGAACTCCCAAAATCCCAACCATGGTTGAAGTCTACAGAAGGATTTAATTTTAACACTGGAGTGCTCCAGGTACAGAAGCAGGAGCAAAGTTTCATTCATGCTTTGGTGAGTAAAGAAAGATGAAATCTAGGCACATTATCCTGGGTCCATGTTGGCAACCAACATAAGCCAGTTTGTGCTGAAAGATACTTCTGGTAATTATTTCCATTTAAAATATGGTCAAATTTAAATACAGGATCTTATGACACACTGAATAATAGCAAACACAAACATCAAAAAGTTGGTGTCTACTGTTGTATATCAGCATCACTGGAACAAAAAGAATTTCTGGCATTTTGCACAGAATCAATCTGAGCAGCACAATGCTAGCTGTTAAATCCATTTCCTTTCCTCTTCCAATAAATCAGATTTTGCAAGCAACATGCAAATATACAGATCAAATTCCTATTAACAGCATTGTCATTTCTATTTGAAATTAAAATAACAAATCAATTTAGGAAAGTTATGGACCGACATTATCAAACAAGGAATCTCCCTCCTGTAGAGTTAGCAAAGAAATGCTTGATTCAGCAAAAGCGAAGCATGCAAAGCAACACAGTGTGTGCCTCCCTGGCTAAATCTATAACTGGATGTCAGCAGTGCTTCAAATACAATTCCAAATGGTGCTTGAAAAAATCAGAAGGGCTCTGATAGCACCTTTTCTGATTAACACGTTATATTAAAACTCATAAGCTCTTCTGAGTTGCAGTTCACTTCATCAGATGCACAGGTTACCTGTGAGATAAAACAGCTTCAGCCTAAACTGTTTTTCCCCCTTTTCCCACCACCTCACCCTAATTTAAACCCTAATTTAAACACCCTAATTTCCCACCACCTCACCCTAATTTAAATCTAGCCACTGTATGCATCAGATTAAGTAACTGCAGCTCACGAAAGCCAATGTCTTTTAATAACATGTGATTCTCAGAAGTTTCTACTAAAGTTCTTCCAAGTTTTTGTTACCATAGACTAACATGGCTTTCTTCCTAAAAATGTGCTATAGAATGCATGGGAGAATGCATCTTTGCACTCCTGAAGACATCTGCATCTTTTTCAAGAAATCTCACACCTGTCACACGATACAGGCGACAGCTGCTTTAAGGAGTTGCAGTCAAGGGCAATGTTCCTCTCCCCTGCATTCTCAAGCATTTTTTGAAATTGAATCAGAAGTGCTGCACAGCCCTATAAAAGATGGGACAAAAGAGGATGGCATGAAGTTTTGAGATTGTTCTTAAAACTGAGAGCAATGCATACAGCACCAGCTAATCAACCCTGTCAGTTTGGAAAGACATTTGCCTGTTGCGATGGGTAAGGAACTTTAATATAATACACCCTTAACATCCCCATTTTCAAAAGATGGTTAGCACTTTCACTGCTTTCGGTCCTTAGTCTCCACTACCAGGCAGTTTTGTAGACAACTTTTACCTGAATGTACATTTTGCTTGTTGAGATATCTTGGTGTGTGTTTTAATTTAATGGACTTCTGAAACAATGGGTTAAAGTACCGTATTTTTCGGTGTATAAGACGCACCCCCCCCCAAGTAGGTGGAAATGTCTGTGTGTCTTATAGAGCAAATGTTGCCGAAGCCCCACCCACCCGCCGTCCCCAACCTTCGGCCTGCCTCCCAGCAATTTGCCTCCTTGCAGCAAACAGCCTGGTCAGCTTCAGCACAGCCTCATTTAGCACGAGCAGCTGATTGGCGGTTGGATTTGCCTCCTGGAATACCGCCTATCAGCTGTTCCAGGCTGCAGGGATTGCCACTGCCTATTGCTGCCTCCGCATGCTCCGTTTTCGACTTCCACGCACCCTGTTTTTGGCCTCTAGTCCCATTTTTGGCTTCCATGTGCCCCATTTTCGCCAAAAACGGGACACACAGAGGCCCAAAATGGGGTGCATGGAGATAATAGGTGGTGGTGGTGATCCCTGTAGCCTGGAACTGCTGATAGGCAGTATTCCAGGAGGCCAACCGCCAATCAGCTGCTCGTGCCAAATCACACTGTGCTGAAGCTGACCAGGCTATTTGCTGTAAGGAGGCAAATTGCTGGGAAGCAGAGGCAGATTTTTTTTTTCTTTTCCTCCCCAAAGCTAGGTTTTATAGTCCGAAAAATACGGTAATACATACTGGGAATAGGTGAATTCTCCACTAGGTGCACCAACATTCCACATATTCCAGACAGGCACAAGAATTGAACATTTATGAAACAATACAGAGAAATCACACAGAGGTGTTGTTGATAATACAGAGAATCATAGTCTAGACTCTACAAATGCACTTTAGATGGCTTCAAGAGAAGTCAAAGCCTGTTAACATTTTCAGTGGTGCTGGTGAAACCAGAAGTGCCACAGTATTTGGAATCATGTTTATAGTCTGTACCAGTCTATACAGCTAATCAAGAACCAGATAAAATTATATGGCAGAGAAAGAGGGACAGAAGATGTTATGCAAATACTCAATTTCAGTTGCCTCACGTGGCCAATTAAAAATGACATATGAACTACCTGACCATAATGTGGTGCAGTACAACTTTACTGCTCGTTTAATTTTTATTAAATCACTCTTGTTTTCAGTTTTGAGTTTTCCCAAGCTATATCTGTAATTTTACATTTTACTATCACCTACGACATTTGAAGAGTCAAACGTTTTATATTTAATAAAGTGTGATGGGTGACAAAAAATTTCTCAGAAGCAAAAACCTTTTTAAAACAAGTCAGCATGCACATCTGCTAACCGCCACTGTTACATTAGAAATTTACTTGCTATGTTTTGATTCATTTTCATTCAAGATTGAGTTTATGTGCATGTCATAATGTATTAATTTTATAAATTCAATATTATGAACTTTGTTTTAATCCTTTTGGAAGCAACTGACTCCCTTCCTAATTAAAAAAAAAAAACTAGAAGTGTTTGATCATCTCTCCCATAAACACCAAAGGCAAGGAAAGCTAAAGAAGATTTCCATTAGACCCCTTAATGGTCTGTTTAAATTTTTAAATTGTTTCAAGGGTTTCTCTCTGGAGCACAATGTATTCTGTCTTTACTGGGTCCAGTTCATAAATACTTAGTTTTCAATCAGTGCCTAAAGTAACGAAGAGGTATCTTCCTTTCAACTACAGAAAATACCACAGTGAACTGGACCTGCTGCCATCATGCCCTCTTCTATGTCAATCAGGCTTTGAGACAGAATGGTAATTAGTAAGTAGTCCAGCATACACTTGTATGCAAATATATATAGGTGTTGTACATCTCTGAGAAGGGCTGGCAAAGACCCATCCAACAACCACTAACTTAAACAGACCAGTACTCTGATTCAAAATGAGGCAGCTTCCTATGTTTATGACTGTACCTGGCAAACGGAGGAGAACCCGAACCAGGAACTTTATGAGAGAACCCTTATCCTGAGAAGGATATTTGTTTCCATCTCTAGGCACACAAAGGGGACGAAGCAACATCAAATATGGCAAGTTTGTCCTTTTGCAGACACACTTCATCTCTCCCATGGCATATGACAGACCTTCAGTCTACAGTTTGGGAATCACTATCTTTACTACTATTTATGGCTCAGAGAAACAATTTGCTTTGTTCTGATTATTAAGGTTGCACAATTCAGCTTTTTGGAATCGGTTCAATGTTTTTTTTTTCCTAAGTAAACTATAAGTAGTCCTCACCAACATAGTAGGCAAATGCAGCTACTTTCTCACATGAGGCTATGGAGGCTGCACTTGGGGGAAGGGAAGGTTCCAGAAATTCTGCTGTTAAAATTTATAAAAGGAAAAAAAAAATGTTTCCATCTCTTGGAATTTTTACCCTCAGAATCAATTTGAATACTGTGCTGCTATCATTCCCAAACCCACGCACTGAGTCAGTAGTCCTTGTACATTCCACATTATGGTTACTAACTCATTAAGAATAAATGCAGCAATAACTAAATCCAGAGTGCTTCTTTTTTTAAAAAAAACCTACAGACACCCAAACTGGATTTAAACTACAGTAAATACCATAATGAGGATCAAAACAGTGCCAGGAATCATGCAGTAGGACCCTGTTCTAACAACTTGGGGCAATATTGCACAGGTGTAGGAACTGCTTTCACCCACATGCAAAAACTTATTGCTACATTGCCCCCCCCCTCCCCACATCAGTTTATGCTATAGAATATACACGTTCTATACAAATAACATAGGAAGAAAATTATAAAAGGCAACCTGGTGTCATTATTTGGACCATTTAAACTTTCACAGTTTAATTTCAATTTTCAAAGCAATTTCAATATTTCTTCCTCTGGACTGCAAGAAGCAGAAGCTCTGCACAAAAGAAAGATCCAATCTGGTACTTGCACAGCAGATGGGTACATGTTCTGTGTAAATTTCTTCTGGTGTAGACGGACAAAGGCAGCTGACTTTAATGGCAGACATTTGGGGAGGAATAACCGGAAGTATCAATTCCAATCTTTCCATCTTGTCTCCACCAACTTCATTTAATGATCATGAGCTCTTCTGCATGGAAGTCATCTGGAATGAATGGAGGACCTAATACTAGAGTCTGGCCTCTTACTACTTGGGAAGATTTGTTCTTAAAAAAGCTGTACAATGTGTCTTTAATATAAAAACTAAGGCAGCTTTACAAAAGTAGCTGGCTCAGTCAATTCCATTGAAAGATAGAGGAGCAGCCTACATATTTCCTAACGTGAACACCATTCAATTACTTTTCTTAAAAGCTTTATATAAGCAGGTTTTTTTTAAAAAAAAGTTTCATCAACAAAAAATGGTGTCAGCTCTACTGTCATATGAAATCTTGTTTCTAAAAATGTTGACCCATTTCCAAAAATCCATCACAATTTGTTAATTCTCTAACATGGAGTCCTCTTGCTCCTTTAATTTGCTGGATGTCCCAAAGTCAGGAATGGCTATTAGCTGCATCCAGAGAGATTGTTCATGGGCTTTGTTGTTAGAACCAAGTAAACAATCTTCATGGCCTCTTGAAGCACTAGTCACTGCATTCTCCATATGAAGCGGACGATATAATGCAAAAGACGCAAAATTATGATCTGATGATTTACTCCCTGGTAATCCAATAAACCCTGAAAGAAGAAATAAAGTTATTTTAAAACAAGGACCTTTCATATGAGGCAGTAAAGATTATCAAATGTATAGTATAGGCCAACTTAGGAATTGCAGTACTAACTCATGAAGTACTTTGGGTAGGTTTAGCAAAGCACAAATGATAAAAGTGTTAAGCTGGCCAATAAGACAACTATTAGGATGGAACTAGGATTGTAACAAAGCAGGATCTCCTATTGGTTTTTGCAATCATATGGAGTATAGTTGTATCTTTACATCTCAAAGGGAACAAATATTTGTGTATAATGATAAAGCTTTAGTCAGATTACTAGATCAGAAGTTCTTTGCATGAACACTAAACTTCTGTTTATAAATACATGGATACTTTCTATCATTTGTTTTTAATAAATGACATAAACAAGAAAAAAATGCTTTTTCATGCTTCAATTTTTCTTTTTCGTGGCAGGCAACCCTCTTTTTTTTTTAATTTAACCATATAATTGCTAGCACAGTACAAATTTGTGTAAATCAAAATTTTCCAAGGAAGAGATCAGAACATAATGTCAGGGATCTTGCTTCTAGAAAGATCCAGTCTGCTTAAGCCCCTCTAGAGCCCCTGTAAGACAAAAAGGACTGGATGGGCAAACAGCCTGACTGAGCTGGTGTTACAACAGAGGGAGAGTATCATTGTTTATTGGCTGCAAAACAAATGCATGGTTGCTATTTATGAATGAGTTTCTTCAAATAAAAAGACAGTCATTTTCTATATCTCTACTTACTGGGATGAGAAAAATAAATAATAGTAACTGGTTTTAACGCTCATGGGTTAAATGCTGTAAAAACAGAACTCCACACATGACTAATTATACTATAGAGTATATGTTGGAAGAGATTATTAATCCTTAGTCTAAATTGTGTGTATCATATTCAACTGAATATATTTGCTTTTGGCCTTACAGAAAGATGGAGTATAAACAACAATATTATAGCTCAATCCTAAAGTCATCCTTTCTGAGACATGTATTTTATTATTTTTTATTTAAGGTTCATATGAAGTGGTTAGAATGCAGTATTGCAGGCAAACTGCCCCACAGTCTGGAGTTCAATTCTTATGGGGATCGAGGTTATTGTAGCCTTCTATCCTTCCGAGGATGAGGCAATATGATAGCATTGTAAACCGCCCAGAGAGTACTGTAAAACATTATGGGGTGGTTCTGCCAAAGGTGTTTTTTCAAGAGGCAATTGGACTTTCTGTTGAGTGTGTGTGTGTGTGTGTGTGGTTTTTTTTTTGTTTTTTTTTTTTTTGAAGATGTTTCACTTCTCATCCAAAAAGCTTCTTGGATGAGAAGTAAAACGTCTTCAAAGAAAAACAAAAAAGTCCAGTTGCCTCTTGAAAAAGCACCTTTGCGACAACCATGAGCATGGATGACTGAGAATTTCCATAGGCTACTGGGTGGTATAGAAGTGCTATTGCTAATGCTGTGTTAATGTGATGCAAAATTACTTGGGGACATTCAGCAAACCATGAAAAAAATGATTAACTCATAGCATTTTGTATTTCTAGCTAATTCTTTTTCCTATATCCATTTTCTGTCACTGATTGATGTCCTCATTGTCTGCCTCAATCATGCTTGCACACTCACTGTAATTTATTCATTCAAATGGATTCTCCCTATCACGGTATATAGAACTCAAACGTATCTAAAGTGCTCTAAAACTCCTGTGAGACGAGAAATTAACAAAGTAATAATAATAAAAAATGCTTCTATAGACAGCTTATTTTTCCTCATGAATGGCAGCTTTTTGACATTTCACCTTCTAGGTGAAGAGAGACTCCAAAATCCATAGTTTTCTGATTCCAGTTGTCTAAGAAATGAAGGCAAAAGAAAGTCTTGTGAATGAATTGTATCTTTAACAGTGTTTGGAGTAACTGTCACTATATTTAATCTTGTTCTATGCTGCTTAATGTGAGGTTTGTTACCAGAAACAAATGGTATATAATTTATGAGATCTGGTAGAGCACACAGAAAGGGAAAGAAACAGGAGATGCCAAAACCAGGATGGTATTCTCAGAGCATAATTGTGTCATTGTCTAAATTGTTGACTCTTGAAAATGTTACAGAGATTCCCAAAGGATGAAATCTGGTAGCTATAATTTATCTGAGAAACCAGTGATTTGGTGTAATGTATGCCAAGAACCTAAATAAAGCTATTGGCAATCCGTGCCAGAGCTAATGAACTAGTGAACCTCCAAATTATTCTCAAGTGACTCCACCTGTATAAACACCCTCTGCTTTTTTTGAGTATAAATACATGCAGATACATTTGAAAAGATGCAGTCATGTAAGAAAAAGAAGACATACACATTTGTGTGCTGCCTGACTTCAACGTCCATAAGTCTCATTTGATGAGACGAAATAAAGCAGATAGTCCAGGGGACAATCAAATCAATTAATTCTCTTTCAACCCTTTGTTTAGAAAAGGTTGTTTTAAACTAATTAAATACAATTAGCATATGGACTAGATATTTTCATTTATCTGTATCAAACAAACACTAAAAAGTCTCAGAAGACCAGCTCCAGTACAGGAACTGGGCATGGCTAGTCTAGTGAAGAGAAGGACCAGGGGAGACATAATAATTTTCCAATATTTGAGGGGCTGCCACAGAGAGAAGGGGTCAAACTACTTTCCAAGGCACCTGTAGGCCAGACAAGGAATAATGGATGAAAACTGAACAAGGAGAGAGTAAGGAGAAATTTTCTGACAGTGAGAGCAATCAACCAATGGAACAGCTTGCCTTCAGAAGTTGTGGGAGCTTCATCACTTGAGACTTTCAAGAAGAGATTGGACTGCCATTTCTCAGAAATGGTGTAGGGTCTCCTGCTTGGGCGGGGGGTTGGACTACAAGGTCCCTTCCAACTCTGTTAATCTGTAAATATAATATCTTGGGATACTTTAGACTTAGATTTATTGTGGTATAAGCTTTCCTGTAATAAAGCCTATTATGTCAAATGCAGTCATAAATCTATTTCAAAGATCTTAAATCTAGCAATTTATAGGAAGAGATGCACAATTTAAGAGTTCTCCTAAAAGCTGTTACAAAATTGGGAAGTTATTAAATTAATGGGAAGTAATTATAACTACGCTTAACTCAGATTAAGGTTTAAAAAAGATTGGTTTGCTGCCTATAGTCATTTCTTTGTCCTATCCCCCCAGATTCTTGCACCACTGCAGTTACCTTTGCTTTAGCTGGAAAAAGTCATATGGTGTAGCTTACCTAAAATCTGAACTGTTTACGTCTTCCTTCAGTTTTCAAGCCAAACAAAGATAAAACATTTCTGATATTTCTAAAAACCAAGCAAGGGAAGGACAGCAGCAGCAGCAAATTCTTGCTTGATCCACCTGACATAATGGGATTCTGGTAAGGCTATGGCACTTCCATCCCTACATAATAAGATGAGAGCAAATCAATTCATGCCTGTAATTTCTCTAAGGGCATTCTAACAACAACTTGTGATTTTTATCTTGGAAGTACAGTATTCTTCCAAAATTAGTCTTTCACAAATTTACTTTCAAAACAATAAGTCTTATTTTAGGTTGTTGTTTAAAGGAATTACTGTATTGCCTTTCAAGGCAAACTTAACAGCAGTATCAATCATAACAGAGAGAATGCATAGGTTCCAGGGGTTATGTTTTTCCCCATTGCTAATTATGGTTAAGCAGATGGGAAACCACAAAAAATGGCAATGTCTCCAAAACCTGACACAAACAACAATTCATAAAGTATACAAAAAGCATACTACTCCAACAAAATCCCCCAAGAACCAATATAGATGTGAAATGACAGGCAGTCTCTATGAAAGGACAGAAGCAGATATGCCCCTTGCTCCATTCCACATATGCACTGGCACTTTGCATAGACTTCTCATTCGTATGATCTAACTTTTCAAAGGAGAGGGAAGAATACAAGAAAAACATTTCTGGGGTGTGCTTAGGGGATGCATAATGAAATGCACAAAGAAAGGTATGCTCTCTCTATGGAATCTACAAAACACAAGACTCTATTTCTGTGATGGAAATTGTAGCTACTTACAAAATAAAGGTAAGTAAAAAATGACTGCAGTGTAAGAGATTGATTTTCTATACTTTATTTTTTCCCCATCTGACAGGGGCTTGTTAAAGCAGATCTAGAAGGGTGTTTTGCATGTAGTAGCTTTTTTCAGTTAAATGAAAAGGGCTCCACTTTAGTGTGTCCATAGCCTGTGTTCTAAAAATATTAAAATATAGTAAAGCACGTCATGTTTTCCCTAAATAACCACAAAAGAAAACATGTGTGGGGGAGAAGTTTGATATATAAATAACAGAATCAAAACTGTTTAGCCTGTAGAAGAACTAGGAAACTGGCCTGAGATAAATTTATCTTAGAAGCCAGGGTTTAAGATTGGAGATAAAAGTAGGTATCTCTTGTCTGTTACAAATAACTGACCATCCACTCTAGAAAAAGAGACAGGCTAATTTACCACAATACAGTGCTCAGTTTTAAAGAAAGACTTGAATTCAAATGTTTAAAAAGTCTAGACAAACGTCTTCCTTTCACCAAAGCATATCAGTTTACATTTGTTTTGTGACTACAACATAGCAAAACAGAGGGCAGAACCAAAATGCTGCTTTAAAGCTACTGGGCAATTTCATTCAAAACAGCAAGTAAATCTTGATGTTTGAATACTTACATGCATAGTCATTCATCTTAAGTGTGTGCTTCAAACATTGGTCTAAACTAAGTAGAAGACCTCAGCTAGCCACACCTTTTAAAATATTTGGATTGTTTTAAATAACAAAGCTATGAGATTAAGGGCTGAACTGAAGTAAAAGTAAATGGCCAAAAAAGGGGCCAAAATATGCAATTGAGGTGAAATAAGCAGCTATAATAAGAAAGATGTACAAGGAAATGACAACAGACCAAGGTGTAAATTCTAATGAAACTGTCAATGAAATCTGATTTCTGTCCTAAAAACACTTGTCTGTCATGAAAGTGTGACATACTGTACAACTATATTTGGAGACAACTGAGTGACATTAACTTTTGTATTATTGCAGTATCTTGGGAACAGTGCTGCTTTTGTCAAGATCATCACAACATGACCTTTATTGATGCTTCAGGTTTTAGGAGATTCCAAGGAAGTATGTACTTGTTTCCTCAACTTAGTGGTTTCCTAAGGGGTTAATTTCTGCACACTTGTCACTTCCAAAAGCTTGATGTAATGCAAGTGTCTGCATCGGCACAACAGTGGAACGAAGAAATATCCAAATCAAAACAATCTGCAAGTTCAATCCAGGGAAGCAGGTGCATAGGAAACAAAAACAGACCTTGACAGCCACTTGCTCTTTCTGAAGTCTCCTGTGAATTTACTATTGTTATCAGTTGTAACATTTAGCTAGCTGCACATTCTACTCAAGTTTCCAGATATGAATGAGGAAACTAAAAACTGTCTAAAATCCAATTCACATATAAACTAAATGACTCATCATAACATTTCATTACAGAACACCCTTCTGCACGTTATTTTCGTGTATGACAAATCAGGTGTGTGATGCTTTGCCAGCTGAACAAGAAAGCTACATAGTCCAAAATAAAGGCGTGAAAAACCGGAAGGAGCTAAATATAAAACCTACTAAACAGCCAAAGAAGTTTAGCCAAAACAAATAGCTAATGGGAAGCAAAACAGTATTGAGGAAATATTTCTCAGGCTGAAAACAGCAGCCTGGAAAAAATTGGTACATCACTGGGGCAAGTTCAACCAGTGATGCAAACAACATGGGCAATCAAAGGAGAGAAATGGCAGCAGGAAGCTTAACTCTTTCTTACCTCCTTCCCCCTGCCCTTTGGCTGCGGCCCCTTATGACGAAGATTCAGCATCACAAGCCCACCACCACCTTTCCTACGCAAATCTCTCCTTCTCCCTTCTCATGCATTCACTTTAAATAGGCAACCTATGAATGCTTCACAGATACTGTGAAGGAAAACCAAAGAGGAATCTATTCAATGTTGCTATCACAAATTAGTTTGTGGTAACAGTATGTAAAACTTCTCAATAAGAGTATTAAGTCTGTCAACCTAAAAGCCAAAGACCCATACCATATACAAGGACAGCAAGAGGACAGGATGAATGCCATAGAAACAGAAAAGACATTTAAAGTATAGTTGAAAATGAGCAGTTTATATGTACATTTAAGACATACATATATTGCATACACAAAATTTCAGCAGAAAGAATCAAGCTGCAACTATTTGTAATTGGACAATATCAAACTGGACACACTGAATTGCAAAAAAGGATCTACTTATGTATGACCAAAAGCAACACAGAGCTTCTATTTATCCAAACTTGTCACATACAATACAAGTTTCCCATATAGTGGCAGAATGCATGGAACTATATTATTTGATTCTCATTATTTTTAAAACAATTAGAACCACCACAAACCTTTAATTACACAAAATTATGATCCATAAGCTATTCCATTTACAAAGTTCACCAAGCCTTAAGGTGACATGCAATGCACGCATCAATTGTCAAGATGCTATCTCTATTTTTTCTCTGAAAGGAATTTATCATTTTATTGGTCAGAATTGCCCTTTTTCTCCCTTAATTGTAATCCAGTTTACTAATACTTCACAACTCAAGCATTTCCTATCATTTTACCTCCTTTACCAGTAAAGCATTTTGTGCTTAATTTCTTAATGTAAGGCTTCTGTTAGAATATTGCGCAAAAAAAAAAAAGAATCTTCCATTTTATATTTCCTTTGGTGCCCTGTCCCCTTCCCCAATACAGTTAAATTTTATACAGAAAGAGGGAATGGGTGCATGCAATTGCAAAATTGTGAGCTCAATGTATCTCAGAATACATATTACCATTTTTAATTTAAAGTTACTTCAGAGCTACATTTATTTTACATTCGTTTGAAGTTTCCATGTTCAGAAGAGATTTTGGCAATATGGTTCAATGCCTTGATGAGGAAAGGTGCATTATTCCTGATTCCCATGACACTAAGTATAGCCACTTGCACAAACATGTATGGAAGACTACTCTCAATGTGCTCCCCCCCTACCCCCCAACAACAGAAATAGATAGCATTTATCCTGCTGAATGTATAGTGTTTCCCATGTTACAATTACTGGTAACATTAATTGTATTATGATCACACAATTCTTTTTTAATGGAACTAACAAGATATAATGCACTACTTTTACTATTAATATTTAAACTATTTTATATCTAAAATAACTAAGACCTCCAAGGTCTCTTCCAACTCTGTTGTATGTATATCACTCAGCTCCCAGGTCAATCCTGTCCAGTATTTCCACACATATCCCAACCTAATGCACTTTCAGGTTTCCCTCATAGGAATTTATTTCATTCATCAGATGGTGAATATAATTTATAAATGCTTATGTGATAATATAGTTGATTAATCTTTGATATTTTCTTTTATAGAAAGCTTTCCTTGTTTTTTCCTTTCACTACAGATGCCAATGATGTACAAAACATATCAAACTATCTCATACAATATAGAATTAGCAATAACCAGAAAACAGAATTACACTGTGAGGTTCACTCTTTCAACACATGATGACAACCACTGACTTCAGTGATTTAAAATAGAAATTAGGAGCATTGATTTATGATAAGGCCATCACGGCCACTAGCCATGTACACCCAATCCTAGGAAAAGCTGCCAAGGAGGGCTGTGAATTTGCAATACAAAGAGATGTTGTGATTCCCTAGAAATCTTTCCACCTAAAAGAGAAAAAAAAATCCCCATAGGTTTTCTCTTATGAGTGGAAAAATATCTAGGGGACCTAAAAAAGCAGTCCTAGGAAAGATTCAACATCCTCCTCCTCTCTAAATTAGTTTGGTCCAATCTGCAAATTTCTATAACGACTTCAGATAAGATCAGGTTTTCAGTGCTTTTTGAAAAGAATCTGTTTTTTAACATTTCAAAAATCCAAGAAAAGGGAGAAAGCTAAAACACTACCTCATTATCCAAAAAGATGATATGCCATTTATCTTTTTTTTAAAAAAAATATTTTAAATCAGCTTTCATTGTCTCCAGACTGAACAGTTGCTCAGTTTCTCAGTTTTAAATTGAATAAAGTTGAGTTTAAAGAAGCCAAGCTTGGTCCTAAGTTCTAAACTATAGCTTACTTTTACCTTAGTTCAGTAGCCTGAACTGAATTCTTCATGATCTCCTGCCAAATCCACTGCTACTTGGTTTAACTTTCCATTCCCAGCAGGAACAAAAGTCAGTTCCCATTGCTGAGCTAATCTTGGTATGGTTTTAGCATTAAATAACAGTTAAGTACAAGTAGTCCTTGACTTACAATCACAATCGAGCCCAAGATTTCCACTGCTAAGCAAGTCAGCTATTAAGTGAGTTTTGTCCCATTTTACAATCTTTTTTGCCACAGTTGTTAAGTGAATCAAGTGCAGTTATTAAGTTAATCATGCAGTTAAGTATATCTGGTTTCCCCCATTGATTTTGCTGGTTGGAAGATAGCTGGGAAAGTTACAAATGGTGATCACATGACTCTGGGACAATGCAACTGTCATAATCACATACCAGTTTCAAGCCCCTAAATTTTGATCATGTGATTATGGGGAAAGCTGCAACAGTCATAAATGTGAAAACTGGTCGTAAGTTATCTTTTTTCAAATTGACATTAAATGATTGTAAGTCAAGGACTACTTATAAATGCCAAGCTAAGAATACTGGAGGATGAAAGTTAAATTAAATACTAATAGTGCAGATCCTTATACTGTTCTAATAGAAACTGTGTAGGCAGGAATATATAACAATTATGCAGTATGCAGTTTCAAAAGGTTCACCAGTTCAGAGTTCAGTAATATGTACTACTGGTTTGCGTATACATCATTAATATATCACACAATGTAATTAAAATTAGTTGATAGATTGTGTAGAATCCATGAATCCATCCAACCAACTATCCAACCATCAATCTTTGCTGTAGTGATTGACACAGAGCAGTGGTGAAATCCATTTACTACCGGTTCTGTGGGTGTGGCTTGGTGGGCGTGGTGTGGCTTGGTGGGTGTGGCTTGGTGGGAGTGGCAGGGGAAGGATATTGCAAAATCTTCATTCCCACCCCACTCTGGGGCCAGTCAGAGGTGGTATTTGTTGGTTCTCCGTACTCAAAATTTCTGCTACCCGTTCTCCAGAACCTGCTGGTTTTCACCCCTGACACAGAGCCTGTCATAAAAGAGCCATTTTCTTTTTCAGGCATCCATGTAAGCTTGAAAGTAGTGTCTTTTTTCATGTCTCCACTGAAGCCTAAACAAGACAAGGGTGTTTTAATTGGTAGAAGATAGGTGCTGTGTTTGCATGAGGTCTGGAGCACAGGCCTACTGTATAAAATGTGTGTGCTCCTTGAATTGCAAATATACTACAAATAACTAAGTGTGCTTTCAATATAAAAAGGCAAAGTATTCAAATAATGTTTGAAATCAGGTATGTTTGAGTAATCAGTATTTTAGCAAATGTTGAAATACTTACATAACATTTGCTCTAAAATTTGTCTTTTGTTTGAGTAGACAGCTACATCCCTGAAATAAGCAAAAGAATTTAAAAGAATAAAAATGTTGAAAGTTACCCTTCTTGGACAGTAGGAAGCATTAAATTCATCTCCAATGCGCCGTAATTCCTGTGCAATCCATATCTCTGGCTGCATATCCTCAGGTATTGGCCGTGACTGCCATCTGGAAGCTGTATCAAAACAACACAATTTATTTTTTTTACATTTCCAAAAGGTTTTCCACCTCCATTCCCCACAGTGCCCATGCACTCAATGATTTTACTACTTATTTCTCTTAAAGCTATAATAATAATTTAATAAAAATACAGAGAGAAAACTAATTACACTAAACATGTCATCATGGTATCTGTGATTATATTTTATATTGAAGTATATGATCTAACTCTGTATTCCTTTATTCATTATTATCAACTGAATCTATTAAATTGTAATTTTTTTCACTTAAAGTAGTAGTAAATTGTGTAAAGCTATGTCTGTGGATTTTGACATACTTTTCACTCAGCTAGGATCAGACGCTTACAAACAATTCAAGAGTGCTCCAACAGCTACCTGGGAAATCAAACTCTAAAATACCAATAAAATAGTATACAGATAGTCCTCGATTTAGGACCACAATTGAGCCCAAAATTTATGTTGCTAAATGAGACAGTTAAGTACATTTTGCCTCATTTTATGACTTTTCTTGCCACAATTGTTAAGTGAATCACTGCAATTGGTAAGTTAGTAACATGGTTTTCAAGTCTCTTGACTATGCAAAAGGTGATCACGTGATCCCAGGACACTGCAATCATCATAAATGAGTGTCAGTTGCCAAGCATCTGAATTTTGATCATGTGAGCATAGGGATGCTACAACAACAATAAGCGTCAAAAACAGTCATAAATCACTTTTTTCTGTGCTGTTGTAACTTTCAACGGTCACTAAATAAGCTATTGCCAGTTCAGGACTACCTGTATAAAGAATCACAAAAAAAAAAAATCCATACAATTAAAACACAATAAAAATACCAGAGGATTATCTCCCCCAAATGATGAAATGAATCTACAACATGGAATCTTATATTCTGATATCATGCTTATTTATATCCCAATTCCCTCACAAGTTAGTAATAACAGTAGCACTTCTATCTGTCATTTCTCTGATAATTTCCAAACAGCACATATTAACATTATCTCTGGATTAAACATTGGGGGACTGTGATTTAATTTATGATTGTTCGCTGCCCATGGCCACTTGTTTGAAATAGGCAGCTACAGAAATAAATATTGACACCAGGCTCTGTAATCATGCAAAATCTGAGGAATAATTTCTCATATAAGCCAGCATTGCAGAGATGCTGTTAAAGGGCTGCATATCACATTAATCAAAACACTAGTATGTACTAAACTTCATTCCTTGCATATAAGCGACCAGCTACGATTTGTTATAGCTTCCTATTATTAACAAAATATGAGATGTTTGGAACCAGGTTTACAGCTGTCTTCCAAATTATGTTTAAATGCACTCTTTTCAAAGGTCAAGAAGCATACTGCTTTCTGCTCTCAAGTAAATTTACTTTAGAAGATGTCAAGCAGTTTCAGTTCAAGCAGTATATAGTCCTTAACTTATGACCGTCGTTACTTTTTTCTTAACAACTATTCGAAGTAATGATAGCCTCCAAAAAAATTCAGTTACAACCTAAATTTGAATTTAACTGTCCCCATGGTCATATGATCACAATTGGTATATTGATCGAGCACTTGGCAACCAGCTTACATTTACAACTGGTTGCAGCCTCCTGTAGTCATGTGATCACAATTTGGGAAGTTTTTTTATGATTTCTAGCCAAAAAAACAAAAACAAAACCCTGCCATTATTTAAGATGGATTCACACTTAGGACTATGATGATTCCACTCTCAACTGTAGTAAAGTGGTAATAAAATCAGGTCTGGTCATGTGGTGAGTTAGGATTACAACAATTTATGGGAATTCCAATCCCAAGTGAGGTTGCAAATCAAGGATTATCTGTGAATCTGTACTCAGATACATTGAATACATGTATTCAAAACAAAAAGGGAGGCAGTATAGTCCTAAGTACCACTTGAGGCAATTACTTTTTCTTTTTTTAAGACATATTGAGTGTAAGGAAACATCTATTTTAAGCATGCAGGCTCAGGTAACTTATTCACAAATAGACGCTGAAGCAAACCATCAAAACTTATATACGTGATTTGTTTTGTTCTTTACAAATCCATCAGAACTCATCTTTTCTATGACATGGTTGGCACAACACACTGATTCCTATGCCCAGTTATTAACCAAGGCCAAGATGCATAATAAAATAATGCATATTTCTCCTCATATATTCTGCTTTATTCCCCCCACTTTCCTTTGTTTCTCCTATAATATAAGGACCCTCTGCGGGTATTACTCCGCTAGTCGTAGCCGACTTTAGAGGGTGGAGGTCATTTCTGCTTCTTTAAGCCATTGAGCCAGGGCTATCTGAAAATGTTTCCGCGGTCATGTGGTCAGCATAACATCACATTGCAGCACAAAATGTACAGTGAAACATGGAACGTTGTTACTCCAATAACATAGTAGTTGCAAATTCCTGAGTGCAGAATGTGGATAAGAAAAAACTGACATGATAATTTAAAAACTGTATTAGGACTAGATTCCTCCTAGGTTCATACATCACACTAACTGTGGTCCTTTTTTTGGCTCAATACAAGTTATCCTTGTTCAGCAACTGCAATTGGTTCATGATTCAATCATTAAGCAAAGCAGTCATTAAATGAAAAATCACATGATCTTTCTTTACTTTATTTTGCTTTGCTTTGCAGTGTTGGAAACATACAACTCGTAAACAGCTGGGAGAGTCCAATTGGCGGAGAAGGTTTCCAGATCTTGACTCATGAGGAAGCCAGGTAAAAGGGAAATCTTATAGCTCTTTCCTCTGCCCTTTGGAATGCTCACCCTGGGGCTGGGATAATTAGCAAGAAGAGAATTAATATCTGTATACATTCACTGGAGAGGAAAAGATTACCTCAGAATAAGCAAATACACAATGTGGAATAGACATTGAAAGGAATGTGGTAGCGCTCTTGAGATTGCAAAACACCAGCCACTTAAGAGGCAAACAAAAGCCTTTAGCATGAAATTGATTAAGAGTCCTGTTAGTGTCAGACACAGCCTCAATTGGCTTGAAGGTTGTGATCAACTAATTAAGATCACAGAGCTGAGCTTGTTAACCTGTGTGGTTAGCGCTTTTTAGAGATGTGCTACAGCACAGAAGAAAGCAGCTCAGGGATAGATAGCCTCTTTACGCAATCTCTCAGCTCTGTGGAGGCTGAGGAGAAATCTTGTCATTTGCTCCCTATGTCACTCAATTCTATGCCTTTGAACTCTTCTTAGTTCTATGATTCTGGTCTAACGTCTTCCGCCAACAAAAATGAATGGAGAATATAAGCAAGAAATATTACAGCTCTTTTTATACAAATTGTTCCACAAACTTGGCATTAAAAGCTTTAAAAGAATCATAAGGGAATATCTATAACTCTCAATCTCACAACAATCACTCGCAGAGCAGTGAAAATGTTAAGCAAATGTGCCTGGCTCCAAACTGGGTGGAAAATTTATTTCAGAGCCAAACTAACATTTCATTGGTCTACAAATGTATTGTTTTCACATTATAGTTGAGAAAGACTATTATCAGGTTTCAAAATAAAAGTTTATATCAGGCTCAATTTTAGTTGCTTAGTAAGCTGAAATTCATTCAACAGTCCTCTTGCAATACTAGTTGACTCAATTTTTCAATCATTTTAAAGGAGAACTAGCTTAATTCATCATATCAGAAAAGAAGGCTTTCTACAATTATATTACAATGCCATTTTTTCTGCCTAAAATTAAACTACTGAACTCTAATTTGATCATCATACCTGTACATGTAATTGTATACTACCCTGTTTCCCCTAAAATAAGACCTCCCTGGATAATAAGCCCAATCGGGCTTTTGAGCGCATGCGCTAAAATAAGCCCCCTCTAAAAATAAGCCCTCCCCGAAAATATTAAACTGCATGTGCAGCCAGTCACCGCCATTTCCTCTGGTTAGAGTTAGGAAGACAGAGCTGGAAATCAGATAAGACGGCAAGAAGAGCCCCCACATGCCCCAAAATAATAAGACCTCCCGGAAAATAAGGCCAAGTGCTTATATCAGGGTGCAAAAAAATATAAGAAGGGTCTTATTTTCAGGGAAACATAGTAATAGTACTATCATAGAAATCAAAATAATTCTCAGTATGTTCAACAGTGGAGGAAGCCAAAGTAGCATTTAGCAGTGTTTGCAGGATTAGGCTGCTTTTGATGTAATGAAAAAACCAGCATCAATGCTGCAAGCTCTGCTCATTTTGGCGGTTCATGCAGTATCACAACATATGTAGAAAGGGGTGGAGCTTGCATCACAACTATACAATGCTGGGATTTTTTTGGGTCTGATTCTTTTTGCCTCTCCTGTGGGACACCTATGGAATACTTGTATTCCTTGAACTACTTCGGAGTATTCTTTTCCAAGTTCTGAATGTATTCAGTTGCACTAGCCAAACAAATACCTTATTTATGAATGAAGAGATGTTGGCTGAGCCATTGAAGATCACATTGAAACAAACAACATCATTAGTAGACTTTTGGATGAAAGTGCACAGAGAATAGGAACTTAAGTGAAAGGATACTGAAGATCTTAATGGCTTTTGTTTCAGCACATAAAATAGCCAAACTTTCATAAAAACCAAACTGGTGTTATTGAAACAGGCTGAATGTTATGCAAACTTTTGAAGATTTTCTTTAAACAAAAACACTCCAGACACTGACAAAATATACCAACATATACAAACTCATACTTCCCACTATGATGCTTAACCAATGGATTATGTATAATGGAGGGGAAAATATTAATGATGTTTTATTTAAGTATACACTTTATTTCCCCCCCTTTTTTAATGAAACCATCACAGATTACTTCATTAAAATTAATCCTATTTGCAGTTCTGTTACTCTCATATGAATTAATGAAATATATAAAAATGTTTCTTCCCAAATCTAACTCAAATACATCAGATCTACTAGTACATCCCCTGATAGTACAGAGCTACGTATAAGAAAATCCCAAACTATAAAATGCCACTCAAGCAAGTT